ATTAGTGAGTTTGACTTAAACCAGTAGACGTGGGCCCTGGGATTAGCAAACAGCAGAAGAGTTGTCACACTGGGTGTCTTTAGAACAGGGCCAGACATCAGTTTCTGCGAGGCTGCCTAGATTGGTCCTGTTCGAAGAAGGGCTGGAACTGAAGTGGCCTCCCTGCTGGTGGCCTCTGTTACCTTGTGCTTCCTCCACTGCTTCCCGGACTTTCCTTCTTTGCTTCCTCCCTGCCCTACTCTAGCTTCCTTCCCAAAGCTGAATCTTCAGACTTTCCTCCTCAGCTGGGCAGATCCAAGCATTCGGGAGGCTGAGGCAGGTGGGTTGCAAGTTCTAGCCCTTAGCAAGACACCGTCTCAGAAACTAAAAGAGGGCTGGGGACGTAGCTCAGTGCAAAGCCTGGGTTCGATTCCAGTCCCTCAAGAAGGACAGGAGAGAGGGAGGAGGAGGGACCGATTCCTCCAGCCGTCTTCTGGGAAAGGGACCTCTCCCGCTGTCACAGGAGCAGAGTTCCTGTCTCCCAGCCACACCCAAGTCCTCCTGGTGTTGCTTCTGCAGCGATTGTGGAAGTTTCTTCCTTGTCTTCCGCTTTAGAAGGCTTCATGGGTCAGGGTGGGAAGCCACCTGGCCATGGCCTGGAACCAGCAGAGGAGCCCGACGCAGGTGGCCTCGGAGAGCAGAGAAGCACACAGTTCAGTCGGCGAGGATTTTTCTCTGTATAAATAAATCTTGCAGAGAATTCTAGCACATAAACAAACTTACGAATTGAAGCAGGCTGGCAGGCACACAGCCAGCCCTCTGCTGCCCATGCTCCCTCCTGGTCCCCTTGGCAGGGGCCCTGGTCTCCCTTTGAGGCCCAGCAGCATGGCCCAGAGCTCTGCAGGGCTGCCAGTCCCCCCCACTGCCCCTGGAAGGGCACTGCTCCCCAGCAAATGGTGGGCATCAGTCCTGCTTTTTTACTTATTCATAGCCTTATGGCTTTTTAAAAGAAAAAACCTAAAGCTCCTGGGGTCACAGTGGGCCTACAAAGGAGCGGGCCTAGTGTCGAGCCCCCTGCCACTCCGCAGCCTCTGCCCACTGCAGTGACTTCTCTCAGAAGTCAGTTTCCTCTCCATTGCAGATGGGCTCAGGCTCTTGGTGTCTCCTAGCCCCTCCTCCCCTTTCTGCCCAGATTTTGAGTCCCAGGGATTGAACCCAGGGCCTTCATACTGAGCTGCATCACCAGTGTCTGTCCCCGCCCCTGAGCCCCATGGCAAGATCTCACTGAGTTTCCCACCCTGGACTTACCCAAAGTTGCAGTCCTCCTGCCTCAGCCTCCCAGAGTGCTGAGATTATAACCATGTGTCACCATGCCCAGCTTGCCCAGGTATTTTTCAGGCACTTTCTTCTCAGCGCCTCTGACTTCTACAGCCACACCAGCCCCTAAGGAAGATCGCCTTGCATTCAGAGCTCTGCGAAGCCACAGAAATCAACTCTCCCATCTGCCACCACTGCAAACAGCCTGGTTTCATTCTGATCAGGGAAATTTTCTTTCTTTCTAACGCTGTGCCTCTTGAGCTGAATATTTTACATAGGAATCCCAGAGTCTCTGCGAAAGTGGTTTTGTACCTATTTAACATTGTGAATTAAATCCATTCAGTTTTTGAACCAGCATGTCTTACTGAGGTGCCGACATTTTCAAACAATAAATTTTAAAATATTTGCACAGAATCCGAGGGTGTTGAGGGGTTTCCTCAGCCTTTGTGTCTTCAGACTATAGGAAGCCAGTGGATATGTGAGGTAGTCCTGCTCAGCTTTTTTGACTTTATTGTCTGTTCTGTCCATTTTCTGAGCTTCAGCTGAAATCTAAGAAAAAGCAGCATTAGGTTTGGGGCCCAAGTCTTTGGATGTTGGATCTGGTGCAGTTTTGAGAAGTCCCTGGTATGTCTTCACAGATGTAAGCCAGATGGTATAATGCAGCATCCGGGGTGGTAGTCAAGTGGGTGGGGACTGTTTCATGCTGTGTGCAGTTGTGCTGGGGTCCAGGCAGCAGAACGGAGGTGGCCACCTTACTGGACAGATGTTTCCCAGCCATGCGCCTTCCGGGTCAGCCCTGTATTTAACCCGACACGTGAAACGGAATCCAGAGGCTGCCGGCAAACTCACAGCCTACAAAAGGGATCGACCCCAGGCCTGGGATTAAGTGAGGGAATGGGAGGACTTGTTTCCAGAGGGTTCTATGTATGCAGCTCCTGGTGACTTTTTTTTTTCCATAAAAAACGCTTTTTCCTTTTGTCTTTTGCCGCTGGCCCTGGTGATGGACTGGGCACTGATGTAAGCACAGTTTCCAAATAGGAAATTAATGAGCTGCTGCATTCTGAGTGGCTGCTTCTATACCATGGGCTGCCCCCCATCTCCATGTCCCCTCCACGTGTACCCTCACTTCCTCGCCACTTGCTCTGCACACTGTGGGTACCTTCCTGGAGGCAGGGCCAGGCGTGTGCTCCCTGGCTTTCAGAGCATCTTTCCAGGTCCATCCAAGAGGCACTGCACTGGGCCACCAGCAGGATCTGCTGCAGGGGCCCTGTTGCTGGGTGTGGGCAAGCCTGCCAGAAGCTGCCTGGTACCTCCATCTGTTGGACGCCCCGGAATCTGCCGAGGCTGCCCTTGGCCAGAGCCTACCATGGGGGACCCTTATATTTTTGGATGGGGGTCACTCTTGGAATAATCTGAAAAGTACAATTTCGTATTTTTTGAAGAAAAGCTAAAGTATCACAGACTGAAAACTCTTAGAAGGCTCTTTGCACTGAAGGAACAAGAACATGTGACCGGCTGCATCTCTCTCCCCTGGCCCCCATGGCTGCCACATTTTGGGAATCATTTCTGGCCTTAACGGAAGGTGTGGGACCCACAGGGGTCTGTGTGTCCTCCCTGGGAGAAGCTGGGTCCCCACGCAGGGACTCTTCTGGGACTCTCCAGAAGACACCATTTCCAAGGCTCAGGCCCAGCTGGAGCTCCCACTGCCGCTGGCGCTCTCTCCTCTGGGTCATCCCTTACCCCTTTTTCCGGTAGCGGGGGATCACAGTGCTGCAGCCCCCGCCTGCTGCCTACATAGACCCCTGGGCTCTCCAATGTGCACCCCTGCACTTCCCACCTCTTCCTCTCCCGCCTCTCCTCCCCCAGGCCTGTCTTCCTCCTGTCACTTCTGCTTGGCTCCTATCCTGTGGCACTGTGTCCTCAGTCATCCTTCTGTCCCTCATTCCTGCCATCCTCAGCGAGGTCCATGCTTGTCACTCCTCCCAGGCACACAGGAAATGCGCTCTTGGAGGGCTCAGAAGGCACACACCTGAGTCTGAGACTGAGAGCAGCGGCTCTGGAAGTGGCCCAGCTCTGGGGTTTCAGTTCTCACAGCCTAGGGCTTGAACCTTCCCAGTTGGACTCTGCCAGTGCCCCTCTTTCCCAGAGATCATCGGTGCTGAGCGCAGGTCTGAGTGCACAGCCCGTTTCGGTCCCCTGGCCATGCACGGCCATCTGCTGGGCATCCAGAGAGCCAGAGTGAGGTTCCAGGTGTGGCCTTCAGCAGGTGACTTGATTTCTCTCATCCTTGGTTTACATGTCTGAAGACTGCTGTCCTGAGCTGCCTTCTCAGGCCCTGTCTCCCAGGAGGTGCGCAGATCCACTCCTAAAGGATGCACTCCCCTCATCCCTCCCCTGACATTGGGCATCTCTGGCCTTTTTCCCTTCTCGAACCCTCTTGTGCTTTTAGTTTCGTCCTCTTGCTTTTCCTTTCATGGAGGAGGTGTGAGAAATGCAGCTCTGACTCAGTCTCCTCCTTCCATGGACCCTGGGGAGGCTGATGCCAGCTGTCCTTCCAGACCAGCCACTGACCAGACTTGGCCCAGCACCTTGGTGCCTTGTGGGTTTTCTCATTGGAATCCCTCCTACCCCTGAGATGAAGGAACCCCTCAAATACTATAATTTTTGTGTTTGTTTGTTTGTTTCTTGAGACAAGTTTTTACTTTGTAGTTCAGATTGGTCTCGAATTCACAGTGATCCTCCTGTCTCAGCCTTCTGAGTGCTGGGATTACAGGTATGCACCACCGCATCCAGCTCAAATGTTGTAATGTTTCATTTCAGGCTTTCTTTTTTTAAAGTATGAAGGCTTGTTGTAGAGAGTACTGAAAAATTAAAGGAATAAAATGCACCTCATTAGTAATCTCTCCTTTGAGCAAGCAGCAGCATCAGGCTGGGTGTCCTTGGGCCTGGACCTCTGCCTAGAAGACAACGCCAGTGTCTGGAGATTTTTTGGTCATAACTTGGTGTTGGGGTTCTTCAGAAGCCAGGTTGTTGCTCAACTTTTTTTTTTAAGACAGGGTCTTACTAAGTCATTAAGTTGTCCATTTGAGGCTCAAACTTGCGATCCCCCACCTCAGCTTCCTACACTGCTGAAGTTGTGTATGCCACAGACCAGTACTGCTTTACATTTTATAACACACAGGTCAACCCCACTGCAGGGGTGATTTAGCTCAACAGTGTGGAGGGCCAGCAGCCCTGTCTGTCCCTCTGTAGAACCAAGGGACGATGCTCCCTTTCCGCCCTACCCTAATCCCTAGCTGTGCCATCCCTGTCAGGGAGCCTGTCTTCTCCTCTGTCTTTCCCCGAGCTGTTCCAGAGCCCACACAGCCCTGTCTGTCACTTCTCAGGGTCTCAGGCTGCGGTCCCTTCTCTCCCCCAGTGGTGGCACTGACAGCTGCTCACCCAGCCTCATGCAGATGCTTTCCACTCATGGCTGGCTGTGTGCTTAGGGGCATCCATGACCTCCAGGCCTAGCAAGTGCAGTCCAGGCCAATGGAGTCCAGGCTGCCTTCGGGAGCAGCGTCTGTGTCTGACACCTCTGTGTGACACCATTGAACACATAATCCTGGCTCCGTAAATCTTGTGTGTATGTGAATTGTAGCTGGATGAAGAAAAATCTGGAAGAAGGCTTCTTCTGACCGCTTCACATGCTGTCTGTCCTGCAGATCCTGGACGAGTGGTTTGGCCGGACCATCATCCGCTCTTGCACCAAGCTGAGCTATGAGCACGCGCAGAGCATGATTGAGCGGCCAGCTGAGAAGATCCCGGAGCGGGAACTACCCCCCATCTCCCCGGAGCACAGCCCTGAGGAGCTGCACCAGGCTGTGCTGAACCTGCACCGCATCGCAAAGCAGCTTCGCCGGCAGCGCTTTGCCAACGGCGCGCTCCGCTTAGATCAGGTCGGTGAGCATTTTACGGGAGGTTTGACTATGCCTGGTGCCAGCATGGGTAAGATGCGGTATGGCACTGTCCTTCCCTGCCACTGCTGTGTTCCAACTGCTCTCCAGACCCCTGTGCTTCCATGAAGCCTGGGGACAGGAGTCACGGCAGAAGGGTGGCACTCATGTGGTGGCCCTGTAACCTAGAGACTGGGATCTGACCCTCACTCCAGGTCCCTCTCCACGGAGGCAGAAGCAGGAGCCAGGGCGTTCTCACCCTCATCTCCCCATGAGGTTTCTGTTTACAAATCCACATTAATCAGAAGCCTCAGAGGGCTGAGGGGCATGTGGAGCATTGGCTGTTGAGGTGAACAGTGGTCTGGAGTGGCACTGTGGCCTTAAATGTCACAGCCCCACGTTAGCGCCCTGGGCCTGAGCAGCCATCACCTAAATCCAAGGGAAGTCTCACAGCCCAGAGTTGCTGGCAGCTGTCTCCCCGTTGCTTGTCAGTGAGTTGTGGAGTGGAGCCAAGCTGCAGCATGGCAGTTTATCCTTTCTGCTTGTAGTTTGTACCCACACTGGGTGCTGGGGAAGTCTCTGTGTATCTGAGAAGTGCAGCAGACAGTGGCCGGGCTGCTGGGGTCAGTGGGGTGGGAACCAGTCAGACCGATGGCACACATTTCTTCCATGGGCCTCTGCAAGGCCTGTTTTAAAGCCTTCCAGCGGGAACTCCATGGCATTCTATCTCCTGCCACAATGCATGTGCGGGCGCCTCCTACACAGCCTTGAGCGTAGGCGCTGCCCAGTCCTCAGTGAAGTGAACTGCTCCCAGCACGGTGGCTGATCAGCCTGGGCCCTGGGGCAGCAGCCAGGGTGGGCCTGGGGGCACAGTGCCTGGGTGGTAGGCAGACTGGGTGAGAGCTGGCTGAGGAGCTAGAGGAAGTCGGACTAAAGACCCAGAGGCTGCAGCACACCTTTTGCTTGCAACAGAATACAGATGCACCCCGATACCTATCCACTAGCTCCCCTCTGCTTGGTAAGTCCAGGAACCTTTGCAGCCCATGCATCCTGGATTTCAGTCCTGTGCAGAGACCTCCTGGTCTCCGAATCCCCTCTGCAGAAGCCTCTCTTGCTCCCTACTTTAGGCTTGGCCTCCCTGGGTCTGCCTGGCCTTCTTCTCGCCCACCCCATGCTTTCTCACCAGATGGATTCTTGAGCTCTAAGGGTTTTAACCACCAGCTGGCTGTACAGGTGCTGAGGACACCAGAGCCTGGCTGCCTGGCTGTGCCTCCTCCTCCAGCTCCAGACCAGCCCATCCACATGGCCTCTTAAACTCTGCCATGGCCCCCTCGCCAGGGCTCACCCTTTCCCATGTGCTGCCCACCCCATTGCTCCCTGTGCTCCTGCAAGGGCCGTACGTGTCCCAAACCTGGGTGTGCTGAGTGCACCTGCCATTGTAAGTAGCAGTTTCACCAAGTGTTAGATCAACTGAGCGACCCAAACATAACAGAGAAAACTCTTATTTTTATGTAAACTTGTTTTGGAAAGACCTGGATAAGTCCAACTTTTGTTCTGTGGATGAGACAACTATAAAAAAGCAGAGAAATCCTGACATTTGGAAAACATTTATACTCTAATTATTTTATAAATGTCTTAAAGACAATGAATTGAGTATGATGTGTTGAGAAAAGATGATGTAAAAAGCTAATTAGCATACTTTTTGTCTTCCTTTTTAAAGATAGTAAATGAAGTGTGTTTATGTAAATTAGGTCAAAACACAAAATGTTTCATTATATATGTACCTCTGCTGCATAACTGCCTTCTTGACCTGACTTCTAGAATAACTAGCCAATAGGTGTGTCACCTTCCAGATCTGTCACCTTATCACTTGGATTAAATGCACAAACAAATGAATCCTCGACAAACTAGAAAAGGCCATGGGCAACCACAGGGCATGCTGGAAGAGGTCAGGCCACCAAAACAAGAGCGATACTGGCTGTTGATACTGGAGATACGATCGATCAGCAGGGCTGAGCATCAGTGTTCTGCTGTTGAACGAGGCTCTAGGTGTTTCAATCTCAGTTTAGCAAGCAGAAGCCCTCAAAGGCTCACTGAGCTTCTGTGCAAAACATCCAGGGAGCGCTTTGTTCCGTTCTGCATTTATGCCACGCTGACTTAAGAGAAAAGTTCTCCTTCACAGTGTGTGGGAGGACATCTTCAAAAGTCTTAATTAGGTTCCATTTAATTAACATTTGAAAAATAATGACTTTGCATCCTTGGAGTTGATTCCATGGTTCCCCAGAAAACAGGTCTGTGGACCCCAGCATTAGAAAGAGGAGCCATCAGTCTCCTGCAGCCAGGACTCTCACGAGGTCATTTATAAATCAGCTAAATAGCCCCATTCAGAAGTCACTGTGTTTGTTCTCCTGTCCCCACTGCCTGTTTTCACCCTCACAAAAATCCATTTTTCCTGGATGCTTTCTGAGTAGCCTGCTGTTCGGAGTTGTTCTTGGAAGTTTTATGAACCTCAGCTCCCTATGTCCATGGTTTTTCATCCATGATTTTCAGTCAAAAAAAACAACAACAATAACAACAACAACAAAAAACCCTTTTGTGCTGGCCTCAATTAGAGATAAGTATGAGTGGAGATGCGGTCCGTACCACATTAGACCCCGATTTCAGTGCAAATCTGCTGGGCCAACAGTTTGGGCTTCCCAGGATGTGGGCTGGGTCTGTAGAACTAGTGCGGTGCCTTTGAGGAGTTGCACAGAGCCATGATTACCTAGGAGCGCAGCGCAGCTGGACTGCTGGGTGTTTACTGTCCACCACTGGACCCTCTGCAGCCCTGCCCATCTTGACAGTGAGCGCAGCCCTAGGACCGCACCTGGCCTGATCCCTGGGGTCGCCTGCAGGCTGTTCTTTGATGGGCAAAGATATTCAAGATACGATTACCTGCTCCAAATTTCTCTTACCTAGAGTTCCAGCCTGGTTCTAAAAGGCATCTCACTCCATGAAATAATTCTCCCTTTTTATGACTCAAAAAACAAACGTAGGCCTCAGTTATTGCCGCGGGCTCTGGTGAGGCAAGCCGAATAGTGTCTTTCCTGAATGACTTCTTCCTCTCTCTGTGTTTTCTGCTGCTGTGATGATCCAGGGAGTCCAGGTAGCTGCCCCTGTCATTCCCTCCTCCTGGCATATGTTTCTCCTGTTCTTAAAAGGAGCTCTGGTGATGGAGCCCAGAATTTTCCTGTGTTTAGCTAAAGAAATCACAGAAGTCTATAATCCCCTGCAGCCTGAACTTCTGAGAGTGAGCTGAGGGAGAGCCTGCCCCAGCCTCGTTCCCTTCTGAACTGCCTGACAGACTTTGGGACGGTGGGACACAAAGCCTGCCCCACCTGACTTGGAGGGGTGCAGGACCTACCTCAGGCTTCTCTGGGGTTCTGTCTTAGCCATTGCCTTCAGAAAGATATGGAGAGCAGGTGGTAGGCTACCAAATGAACCCTCAAGCAAAAGATCTCAGGTCACTGGCTGGTTTCAGGCAATGATACCCACAGCGGTTCGCGGCTTTCTCAGCCCGCTGTGCATGAGGGCTTCTAAAAGAAACCCAGGTCACTGGGCCCCCAGGCAGGCTGCACCCTGGGGACAGGGTGACTGAATCAAGTGAAGAAACTGGTATTTCCATCTTCTAAGGCAAGTTTCCCCAAACTGTGTCTTGCAAGTGTGAGGTCATGAATTCGATCCCACGTACAAAAAAAAAAAAAAAAAATTCCCCAAACTGAAGGAGTGTTGACTGAGTTCCTAGCTGCACCTTCCGTGACACTGACACAGTTTCAAATCCAAGCAGTTTCTTTGTAGACTTCTTTCCTCTCCTCTCCCCCCTCCCCTCTCCCCTCTCCCCCCTCTCCTCTCCCCTCTCCCCCTCCCCTCTCCCCCTCCCCTCTCCCCCCTCTCCCCTCTCCCCTGTGAAGCACTGGGGACCTAACCCAGGGCTTCACGTGCTAAGCAGGTGTTTTCCAGGGAGCTATCCTCTGTCCCCAGCCACTAAGATAACCTTGTCCCTAGGAATCGCCCCCATGTGCTCTGGGACCCGAGCTGCTGTGTCTTGCTTACGAGTGACCTTGACCCAGCCCAGCTGTGTGTTGGGGTTGGCAGACTTCCTGTCCAGGGCCGGAGAGCAAGCAGTGTGGGCTCAAGGGGCACTGTCATGGGAGTTCGGGCCACCTGTATGTGTCACACAGGGGAGGGTGGCCCTGCACCAGTAAAACTTGAAGGACACCAAGACTTGAATTTCATGTAATTATCATGTGTCATAAAATATTGTTCTTCCTTGGATTATGTTCAACTGTTTTAAAATGTAAAACCCATTAGCTCCTGAGTCACAAGCAGGTGTGGCCTGTGGTCCCCATGTTGGTGACCCCCGTGTAAGTGGCCACAGGCATCGCCCATCACACAGAGAGCTTTTAGCATCTCATCACTGTGGCCCCGGGAAGCCAGGCTGGCTAATGGAGAACAATTGTGCTAAGTTAGCTTGCAGGATGGTTTCGTGCAATTAAGTAAATTATTCTTTTGATTAGTACATGCTTAGCAGGTCCAATTAGAGGCTGGAAGCCAAGGAACGAATTCATTTAGCTGCAGCTCCTTCACCCCATGTATGGGGTCGGGTCGATTTCATCAGCCTAAAGCCGAAAGAGCAGAGGCACTCAGCCTCTTCTGCAGGCTCCTCGCAGCTGGGCGGCCCTGCTGCCCCCTCCCACACCTGCCCTGGTGCTGAGCTAAACAGTGCGTGTCAGCAAACCGGTTCTGCACCTCCTCTCTTGTGCAGCTGTTTTCAAGAAAAGAGCATAAATACATGATGATATTTTTATACATGATGATATTTGATGCTGGGTGAGAAGGGTGAACATATTATTCATCTTACCTGAATCGTCCTGAGTCTTGTTATTATGTCATTACTAAGACATAAGAGTGAGCCAGGCGTGGTGGCTCTGGAAGGCTCAGACAGGCTGGTCACCATGAGCTAG